CTAGCCTGCATGAGCAGATATCAATATACTCTGTGGGAAAGGTTCTCCGACCTCCTGACCCACCTCCCTGAAGACAAGCTTCAGGCGGCCAGGATTATTCAAAACGAAGGCATGATCCTTGCAAAGCAGCAGATCAACACTTCCAAACATGCCTTAAGATGCTTTCTCCAGAACAATGACCTCAGCGATCGCTCTGAGGAGACACTCCTGGCTCCGCAATACCAATCTTCCACAAGATACTAGGTCCTAACCCTAACCCTTCCACAAGATACTAGGTCCTTAGTCTCTTACGCATCAGCACGGCTGGGGACTCGCATCACGGCTCAGCCCCTGTCAAAGTGGATTGTGGGTCTCATCCGTCTATGTTACCTGATCGCCAAACAGCCATTGCCTAGCCCTATCAGGGCTCATTCTACCAGAGCTGTTGCAACTTCCACTGCCTTCCTCCAGGGAGTGCCCCTGACGGACATTTGTAAAGCGGCTACCTGGGCCATGCCGAACACCTTCATAAGGCACTACGCCCTAGACGTCCATAAGAACACGAATACCAACATGGGACGTCACATTCTATCTTCAGCTACGCAGTAAAGGACCTGCCAGCACCCTCCAGGTAGGCCACTGCTCGCTAATCTCCCATGGGTGTGAAGCACAGAGACTACGTCAAAGATAAACAGGTTGCTTACCTGTAACTAGTGATCTTCCAGTGGTCATCTGTGCATTCACACCACCCGCCCTCCTTCCCCCGCTGCTGTCAGCTTCTACATTTTCAATAGGGGTTGATTTGTGGCGGTCTGAAGGAACTGGCTGTCCGAATCGCCACACGTTCAATTGAATACACGTTTGTAGCAAAGTAATATTTATTGAAGCAATGAAGAAGCTGGAACACAGGGACTGTTTGGAATGACTAAGAAAGCCAGGGCATGGGATAATAAACAGATTCATACAAGCAATAACATTGGTTCCCGCTTTCATGGGTACGTTGACACTCGCGCCTAAAGCCTGAGAAACAACTGCTCCTGAAACTTAAACAATTAATTGCTTCTCATGCTCTAATCAAGCGGCTCCGGCTCCGCACCTGTGACCTTGCAGATAACTACGTTTCAAGCAACACTAGCGTTCATAGAAAGTAATGCATATAAGAAGCTGCTGTCTTCATATCACTATTAAGCATGCGCAATTGTGTCTAAACGAGCCAGGGAATAAACGGGAGGGATTCATGGCATAGACACGGCATACAGAGGTACACAAGAAGTACATAGAGCTAATTGGCAGCTTGCTGACACTGGCGTGATGTCCGCGCCCACCCCTCTGGGCATGCGCAGTGGGGTTCCTGCGCATGCCTGAGGGACTGGGCGCGAAAATCCATTGAAGAGCTTGCTACAATGCCGATCGATCCCGAGCGTGCGCACTAGATCCCATGGGTGTGAATGCACAGATGACCACTCGAAGATCACTAGTTACAGGTAAGCAACCTGTTTTTGTCAGCCTCCCGGTGAGGTCTGGAAATCTCTTGGAATTATAACTGATCTCCATATGACAGAGAAAATGGCTGCTTTGAAGGTTGGAGTTTATGGTATTATACCCTGCTGAGGTAACTTCCAACCTCATCCTCCCAAGGCTCCACCCCTCAAATATCCAGGAATTTCCCAACATGGAGCTGGCAACCCTAAGAGGAACTGATCTCTGTATCTGGGCAATCCATTGTGATTCCTGGAGAGCTGCTACTGCCACTGCTGCTGTGGGGGGGAGGAAGTAGGTGGGAGGCTGGGAGAGTGACAGGAGCAGAAAGTGATGGGGTGGGGGCAGAAAGGAAGTGACGGGGATGGAGGGGGGGGGAGAGTAAGAAAAGGGGTGGCAGGAAGGAGAAAGAGTGGGAGAAGCAGAGGTAGGAGAATGGGATAGTCACTCCTGCAAGTTTCTTGCAGGTTCCCACTTAAACAAGTGGAAGGGTGGCTGTTTATGATTCTGATCGATGCCAATAAAGGTTTTGAATTGAATTGATTGTTTAATATATATCATTCTGAAATGTGGCCCCATCTTTGGAAACTTAAATCGAGAGATTGGAGCCACAAGACAGATCTTTCTACAATGCTAAGAAAACCCCAAGTTCACAGAAAAAACCTGAAATCTTTAAAAAGGTGTGTGCGTTAAAATCCTCCAAAACGATAGAAGCAGCATATGTAACTTCAAGAAACAAATACCCTCAGTGGGAGTTGCTAGACAGCTACAACAGTATTGTCAGCCTTGTTGGGGAGGTTGTCAATAAAAGGTGGGGGCAGGGCTCTTTCTAGAACTGTTTGAGCCTTTTAGGGAAGACTCATAGGGCCAAGTTTGGCAGCCGCTGCCAAAATGGCTTGCTGCCGGCTGCTGTACATATCTCAGCCAGGCCCAGCTTCTTGCTACTGTTCAACAGCAGCCAACCTACAAAAGCCCATGTTGTATAGTGGTTAAGTGTGGGACTAGGATATGGGAGACCCAGGTTTGAACACCCATTGGGCCAGTTATACATTTTCAGCCCGTCCAACCTCACAGATAGGGAGGGGAGAGATAAAACGATGGGTGGGTAAAAAGAAAATGAAGTCTGGAAAGGTGAGGACATGGGAGTTGCTACGAGAAAAAGTGTTTTCTTGGGGGGGGGGGATATGGGAAACTGAGGTGCCCCCTACAAGTCCCGGTGGGTTCCCCACTAAAACAGTGAGAACCTTTTTCCTGGGTGGGGGCTGCCAGGGAGAAAAAAAAAGCTGAAGACAGGACCATATAAAGGCAAGTTGGCTGCTGCATGTTAAGGAGAAAAGGAAGCGGAAAAAGGAAATAGGGGAGGGGAAAATGTGTGTGTTTTTTTGCTCTGTTGCACAAAGCATTGGTTGCAGTGTGTGTTCAACAAGTTATAATTTTAACCAGCATCTATTGCCAGCGTCCTTTGCAAGAGAATGAAAACAACTAATTTCAAACTTCTGTCTGGTTCCCAACGCTTTACTGTGCTTCACATCAATTAAGAGGCCCTTGAGTCTTAGAATAATTTTTCCCTCAACAGTGGAATCTACTATGGAATATGTTTGTTTCTTAGGACAGATACCAATGTGAAAGTGGGAAATCGCTGCTTCTATTATCCACATTCAGACGATAAACTGAGGCTGGTCCCCCTCCCAATTCTAAACAACTGATTCCCTGTAACAGAGCTGCCCTGTCATGATCTCAGCACATATGCAAGGATTTTTCCCCACTGCTAAATACGTTGTATTAAAAGCAGCGGTCACCTGATGATGGGTGTGCCTTCCATTTCTAACGTCTGTCCCTTGGATGAATGGCAGTGTCAGGGCAGTTCAACTGTTCCGTGTCCAGAAGAAGACCATAAGGGTGCTACACGCGGGTCCTCATTTTCTGCTGCCCGTATGTGGATGGCACCCAGAAGCTTCCAAGGGAGATTAATCACCCTGGCCAGATCAGGTTCATGGAGGAGAGGTTTGTCAATGGCTACTGGCCATAATGACTAAAGGGATTATTCTCCTCACTCAGAGGCAGAAACTCTGAATATCAGGGCTTAGAAGGCAACATCAGCAAGAAGGCCTTGGCCTCTCTGCCTTGTGTGTTGGTTCTCCAGGGGGACTGCCACTGTCAAAGACAGGTACTAGTCCAGCAGGGCATTTCTTATGTTTCGTATAGCCTGAGAATGTAAAGTGGGAGGGAAAGTGACATGGTACAGCCTGTTCCCAACAGCCTTGGAAGCTAAGCAGGGTCGGTGATTGGACAGGAGACCAACCAAGGAAGGCAATGGCCAACCACCTCTGCTTCTCACTTGCTTTGAAAGCCCCTTGCTGGGGTCGCCATAAGTTGGCTATGACATATTGGTGCTCCCTCTAAGCTGTGGAGTCTTGTGAGCAAAAATTCTACTTTGTGAGCTACTGGCATTAAAGTTGTGTGTGAGCGATTTGGCTACTGCATAAATTAGTCTGCTCTGGAGCCATCCTTCCTGAGCTAAGGCAAAAATGTGTGAGCCATAGGCTAAACAACTATGAGCTAGCTCACACTAACTCATCTTAGAGGGAACACTGATTGGCACTTCACACACACAAAGGTTTAAAATATGTTTGTGCTCCCAGGAGAAAGCTACAATTCAGGAAACTGCAGAGCTAATTCCGCTCTTCTGGCAGTGCTCTGGTCTTGGATTTCTTCCACCTTACATTTGCACCGCAACCTTCTTTTGAAAGTCAGGAGAATTTCAAAAGCAGGTTGTTATGTAATTTAAGAAGAAGAGATTGGATTTATACCCTGCCCTTCACTCGAAGTCTCAGAGCGGCTTACAAACTCCTTTCCCTCCCCCTCCTCACAACAGACACTCTGTGAGAGGTGGGGCTGACAGACCTCTCTTGAGAACTGCTCTTTCAAGAGCAGCTCTGACAGAACTATGGCTTGCCCAAGGTCATCCAGCTGCTGCAAGTGGAGGAGTGGGAAATCAAACCTGGTTCTCCCAGTTTAGAGTCTGCACACTTAACCACTACACCAAACTGGCTCTTAAGCACAGTATTTGGGCATGTTCAGGGAACGGCTAAACCAGGTGGTATAGCCTTAGTATCTGGTAATCAAGGCTACACATTTTCTGAACGTGGGAGGTTCCATTCTTAGCTCTGAGATTTACTCATTTTCCTCACTCTCACCAACACAACTCTAGAGAAGCTCTGCTGAAGGCCAATGTATCAGGGCTTCTATCAAAAAGTCTATTTAATCTCCCATTACTGTTTTCCAGTTAAGAATAACAACAAATCAGATAGCCTACATCCTATATTTTATTTACAATTCAAGTAAATCTGAATATTGCATCAAACAAACAAACTCCAAGAGAACTATGATCACAGTTGTTACTAGCCGGTTCATCACTACTAAAGCAGGAATAATGAAAATGATTGCTGGGGGGGGGGGAATCTGATATTCTAATATAATACAAATGACAACTGGATGCAACATTCTGAAGTGCTTCTGGCCTAACAACCTAATTCAACAGATCACTGATGGTCAACCTGTGAATACTTGGGCTTTGCCAGAACAGATAGGGATTTTAATCTGTGAGAACTGAAAGGTTTGCCCATGAATGATACATTATTCCTACAAGATTTTCTTCTGGTCCTTGGCAGTTTACATTTTGAACTTTCACTGTCAGGTAAGGGGAAAACTGCAGGTGTGTTGGGTGAAGGCATCTTGACAGCCGATCGGACTTTTACTGAACTTCCAGAGCATGACAGAGACCTTCGGGCGGCTACGTTGCTGGAGTCTAAAATCACTGGCACTTTAGTGGACTTATTGCAGGATGCTCGCAAGTGCTTTGAACGTAGAGTTCCAGAATTCCACCTATGATGACAATGGTGGCAAGTCCACTTTGAGATGTCCGTTTCCTGCACACAACTGCCAGGATTGTGAAAGTCTCCACCAAAGGCTGCCTGAGGACACAAAAGATCAATTGCTTTCAGCTGCTTCAGCTGATACATATCTTTTGTAGAACTGGGGCGGTTGCTCATGGTAGGAGAAGCAGATGGTTCTTTTGTCCTTTCTTTTAATACAGTCAAGTGCTGTAACCTTTCCATTTCTACTAAGCGAGAAATTAGTTTATCAAGTGACCCTTGCAATGGTGGTTCAAATGCTAATTTCCAGTCACCCCCCTTGGATAAGGACAATTTTTGTAAATCCAATGTATTGTAAGGTTCAGGAAGGAAATCAGGATATGGGAATGTCTCACACTCAGCTGAAGAGGAAGTTTCTATGTCTTCTATAGGCTCTGGTCTTAGTTTAAGATTTGCATTTTTTAAATATTTTAGCAAAACTGCCCTGTTTTTTGCACCCTCAGATGCATCCTTTTCCTCAGCTGAAACCTTGTCCTCTCCGTGACTGTCTCCTGTTTTCCAGTTCAATTTTGTCACAGAAAGTATATCATCACTACTACTATCAGTAGGAGGATAAGAACTGGAAGCAGAGGCTTTGTGGATCTTTTTGAAAAAGTCCCCATCTCCATTTGTACTGCAGTTCTCTAATGTCTGCTGGGTTCCAGGATATGAACCTGACTGGTATGTATTCACAGGGTGAGAACCTACCAGCGCTGGATTGGTGTTGATGAAGTTTAGTGGAATACCACTGGAGCTACATGGCATTTCTGCAAAAGGTTTACTGAAATCTCTGTGGGGAAAAAAGAGAGAAACTGTATTAACAAGGTAGGGCATTACATTAAACATCTAGGAGACAGTTGTTACTGTCATTGCTGATGTAGAGGAAGAATAAATGTATTTGCAGCTAAATTCCATAATAATACACACCAAAGTGAGTCTTCAATATTGTCAGCAATTTATTAATCTCACTAATATACAAAAGTTACACCATTCCATATGAAAAACAGCATATACAAAAGTTACATCATTCCATATTAAAAACATTCCTGATTCATTCCTCTTAGTATATCATAAGATGTGGAACAGTAAATGCAGAGAATTGGCCAGGCTGCATTTTACTGTACCAGATTGAGACAATGGGATTAGGAATAAGTTTAGTAAAATAAACTAGATGGTGCAAGCAAGCTGTGCAAAGAACTATGGAAGGGGGAATTAATCAGTCTCATCTAAAAGAAAACCTGCCCACCTCTAGTTCAATAACTAGCTAGAAAAAAAGTTTTTGGAAAAACAGACAGAAGCACTTCCTTGGACATCACATAATCTATGAAATTCGTCTTGGGAATTAATCATCGATAGAAGATACACCTCTCAATGGTAGCTAATTAAGAGGCATGATGCAGCCGAATGTGGTCGGTGTACGGTCACGCCTTCTGAAAGGAGCAGGGGCAAAGTACACTCTGCTTCTTCTTAGCTTCACTCCTCTTTTGACACATGAACAGCCTCAGGACTAGAAGTGATCTCCCCTGCTCCCCCACATTCTTCAGGCAGTATTGTCCACATTTTCTGCGAGAATGGATTCCCCCCACACACAAAGCCTCGCTCATTATCTGTTGAAACATTTGCTAATTTACTAATGCTTTAAAAGGTCCCCTCCTCTCTTCTCTCTCTTTGTTTACACTTTGAAGAAACAGAGATGGGCTTCTGATTGATACAAAGATCCATCAACAAGTGCAATGCACAGTTCTGTGCAGAGATGTGGTACTGGTGATGTGACATCATGACTATTGCAAGTGGCATATGTTTCCCCTGAGGCTGGTCCAGGGAAAACTGTATCTCCCACATGATTTCCTCTATTTCTCTAGGGCATCTGACTAGTCATTGTCAAAGACAAAATATTGACTTTGGTCTGAAATGCCAATGTTCATGCTAGGAAGGAATTAAACAAAGGAAATAATAATGCAGTGGCTTTAGTAAAGGATGGATGACTGAAAATGAAATTTTAGCAAAACCATGCAGTCCTGCTGGGCTTTTAGTAATAGTTTGTAGTTAGGTTGACAAGTCCAGTAAAAATACATTAACATAACTACAGAGTTTTTCAGACCTTAGGTCAAAACTTTTGAAACAAAACTATAAAGTAATTAATGAAAATGCTTTAACTCTTTCTTTAGGGTTAGAAAATGGAAACCTGAATATACAGCAACAATCTGGCAAACTAGGGCCCCGGTCACACGGCAAAGTTGCCGCGGGAGAGGCACGGATGGTGGGCAGATTATCCGGGCGCGATCACACCCCAACATCTGGGAAGTGGACGCACCCGTGCCTTACTGCCAACAATGCACATTAAAAAACTAGTACCTCCAAGGTACTAGTAAACGTTTGCCATGGGCTGCCTCCAGACGCCCGTGGTGTGATCGCGCTGGCATGCGGCATTCCCCTCCGGTCCCTCGTTTACCTGCCGGCGCCGAGGGAAGGACCCGTGGTGTGCCGCCGGCGCGTCTGTTCACGTAATCGTGGATCAAACTGCACCGGAGCAATTAGCCACACCTCCCCCCCACGATATCTGGCCCGTGTGACCGGGGCCTAGGTAGTGTATACTGGATAGAGTAAGGCTAAGTATAAGTGGAATTAAATAAATAAATAAGTATTGTCAATAAAGAGGCTTTCAAGTACTTCCCTTCTTGTTTTCTTTTTTAGCTGGTTTACTTCTAATCATGTATTGTTGAACTGATATTACTTGGACAAATACTGTGTTTAGAAAAGTTACTTTTGAGTATAGGAAGTTTATTTACTGTTAGCTAGATCTAGAGGAATTAAGAACTGTCATACAGGTTATATGGGTTAAATATAGTGAATATATTTGGTATTGGTTATTTAGTATTTACTGCAAGTTTTTAAAGGTAAAGGTAAAAGTTTCCCTTGCTTGAAAGCCAGCCGTATCTGACTCTAGGGGGCGGTGCTCATCTCTGTTTCCAAGCCAAAGAGCCAGCACTGTCTGAAGACGTTTCCATGGTCATGTGGTTGGCGTGACTAAACACCAAGGCGCACGGAACGCTGTTACCTTCCCACCAAAGCAGTACTTATTTATCTACTTGCAATTTCTTGCTTTCAAACGGCTAGGTTGGCAGGAGCTGGGGCCAGAGACAGGAGCTCACTCCGAGACATGGCACTAGGGTCTTGAACTGCCAAACTACAGACCTTCTGGTCTACAGCTCAGTGTCTTAACCTCTGAGCCACCATGGCCCCCAAGTTTTTAAAAGGGGGGTTTAAAAATGGATACAGGTAATTCTTAACTAAGAAAGGATATAAGTATGATTAAAGGACAATAGTTAAGGTTTATTACTTCTTTTTGTGATGATGTTAACTGAAGAGATGTCAGATTCCATTGACATAAAGTATTATATGAGCAATTATATGAACACAGGATGCTTGGGAGGAAAAACATGAAGAGAAGGGGATGATGTCAACAACTGAAGACATTGAAAAGTTGTTTCAAACTCAATCAGCTGTGGTCCTTCTTGAACAATTTCAACCAAGGAGAAAATCAGGAGCAGAGGATTGTACTTCTGTCCGGCGCAGCATCCATCTTAAAGATCCAGTGTCATATTGAGACTGGGCAAGGGGACACCCCAAAATCCATCCACCAGAGAGCAACAATGGAGGTTTTTGTTGAAGCCAGCTATGCAAATGACATCTGGATGCAGCAGTGCATTGCTCTCCCTCAGAAGAGGACTAGTGGAGAGATTCCATTGCTTTCTCCAGAAATGAAATAAGGCCAGGCGCAAACAGGCTCTAATGGAAGGTAACCCACGTTCAGCCCTCACTAGAGGTTGCTAAAGTGCCACAAGGCAAAGCTAAGATTCTCTTTAAGAAGGGATTTTGGACTGGTTCGAGGGTTGAAACCAGATCTCTGCACCATATAAATGATTATACAAACCACGTAAATGAGTCGAGTTATGGCATCGGAGCCATCCTGCATTAGTTCTTACATTTTTAATAAACTAAAATCACATGTCTTGCCACTGCAAAATGCAGCAACCACAAGAAGAAATAATCACATCAGGGAGTGATCAGGGCAAAAATCTCCCCTACAGTTACAATCCATCCTGCAAGGACAGAAAACAACAGTGATCCAATTAGAGACAGTTGTACCATCCCAACACATCACAATCTCTTGACATCTGTACACTACAATTCAAAATATATAAACATTTAATTACCTAGTAAGGATTTACACCTAAATTTACTTAAACTGTTAAAACATCACTACTTTCATTGAACATTACTGGCAAGTAATATTGCCCTACCAGGGTGATAAAAAGTGCAAAATGACACATCATTCTGGTTAAGGTCAAGGCTCCCTAGGCTGTTGGGCTAGGGTTAATCTAAGCTACTTTTAAATAAAAATTCCTCAAATATAACAACAGAAAATCATTTTTCTTTGAATTCAGAATTGTACTGCGGTGTGCTGATTAGGTCCCAGTACCAAAATCACTTTTGCGTTCTTCGAGAAACCTGAAGAATCTACCAGCCCAGTGACCCTTTGGGGCTAAATTATTTTCCTCTCCTTCAGATGTAAATTTAGAAAGTACATTAGTTCTTGATGCAGAGACCAAAGGTCGTCCTTCACAAGTGATTGAGCTAGGGTGGAGTGTAACCGCTTGATTCTCCTTATGCAGAGCTGAGATCCCTCAAGGGGATCCTGGGCAGAACTAAGCAAGACATTCCCCCAAACTGAGGCAGAGGCCATAAAAGGCAGTGGCCACTCTCAGTTCTTCGCCAACCTCAAAACCGAAGGTCTGGAACAAGAGTTAGGGGGATACTGCAATGTAATCTATTGCGCTGGTTCCTCGTGTGGATAGGAATGTAAATGCATCACCAGACACATCAAACCCTGTGCTGCGGAGAACAATATGCAGCTGATGGAGTGACAGCAGTTCTGACCATCTTAAGCCTGGCTTCTCTATAACTACATCTTGAGAAGACCAGTCCAGGAAACAGGCTTGTTTGGCAGCCGGGTTGCTGATATAGGTCAGGACATCAGAAACGCTAGGCCCTGTTCTGGCACTGAAATCTCCACATAGCATGAGGTGAGAGTTGGGAAATCGTAGAGCTAAAGTGTCAAGAGTGGTGGACAAATGATCTCAAAAGTTTTCCATGCTCTGCAGTTTTAAAAGTTTAAGTGGGGTGTAGATGCAAAGGAGATAGCCAGTGTATTGGACTTGGATGAAGGGGACCTGGATGTAGTCCTGAGACCCACTTTGCAAGGTTTGTACAACAACATTAAGACTGATAGATATGAACACTACTAGACCCTCCCCCCATTCCCCCATCTCTTGACAGCTGGTACTCCAAGGCTTGGTAGCCATGAAGAGCAGGGGGATTAGACACATAGGATCACATTTCTTGCAGACATAATATATCAAACTGGCGCAAGAACAAGAAAAATTCAGGGTCATGGAGTTTGTTCCCCCACCCCAACAGATTCTATGACAACAGATGTAATTCTCAGTTGGGCCTCTTTATGTTATCGAAACCCCTAAAGAGTCTACTACTGGTGTGAGTCAGGGGAGTTGTTCTATACCAAAGTCCCTGTTGTTCCCAACTTGTAATCCTCAAGGAAATGGTAAATATCTGCTCATTAATTTCACCTCTATTAGGGGGATGAGTATAAAAGTATTCCTTGAGCAGGGGAAACAGTCAACAGGAGGTTCCTCCATAGGGAGGAAATCAGAAATCAGAAAAGGTTTGGCTAAGGTTGGCTTTAC